AGTGCAATCATACAGTATCTGTCTTTTTGTGACTGGCCTAATTCACTTAGCATAAGGCCCTCGGGATTCATCCATGATGTAGCATACGTGAGTTTCCCTCCTTTCAAGCTGACAGTCCCTCATGTATCGCAGGTACTGTACCACGTTTTGCTTATCTATGAACGTCATCCGTGAGGGACACTTGGGTTGTTTTCGCATTTTAGCAACTATAAATAATACTGCTCAGAACATGGGTGTAGAGATAACTCTGAGATCCTATTTTGACCTCTTCTGAGTGTATACCCAGAGGTGGAATTCCTGGGGTATGTGGTAATTGTTTAAACTTTGAAGAATCACCATTCTGTTTTCCACAGCAGTTTTGCCATTTTACAGTCACATCCACTGCCCCAGGGGTCCTATGACTCCACATTCTAAAACTTGTTATTTTCTGATTTTTGATAGTAGCCATCTTGATAGGCGTGAGGCAGATCAAGCCATTCTTAACATTTTTAAAGAGGTAGGAAAGAGGAAGAAATAGAACAGTACAATAATTTAAGGTGAAACAAGAAAAGATTCAAGTTCAGGGATATAAGAAGGTCTTCATTCCCTTTAGGTGTGTCATCTAAAGGGCATTAGGTTATGCTTGAGAAACTGAAGACAGAGGTCTCCTTACACCCAAGCAGAGCCTCTGCCTTGGAACTTTGAAGCTGATTGACTTAGTAATGGCTGTGCAGACCCAGTGGGCCAAGCTGTGCCAGGATGGCTTTCCTCTGTGATGAAATCTTGGACTCTGGCATTATCTGCAAAACTGGGCACATTGCTTTTCCTGTCAGACAGCTTCTGTGGTTCCATGTCGCTAAGTAGACAGGATGACCTCAAATGGTCCTTCTAGCCCTAGGACGCTGTGATGCTAACAGCCAGGGTCCAGTCTGGAGTGTCTTCTTTCTTCCTTTGCTTCCCTAATTGACCTCATTCTTTTCCACTTCTCAAGATTATGAGCCTGTCACCTGCCTATCCTCTGCATGTTGCGCTCATCTCTAGTTGAATTTCATTGTCTTCACCAACTTTGATAAATAGTGATCTAAGGCCCATTCTTAGTAATTTCACTCTTTTTCTCTCTAAACTGAGGACAAAGTCTGGTGGGGAAGAAATGCTGAGGTTAACAGCAGTTTCCTAAAGTAATTATTCCATACCTGGCAGACAGAAGGACTCACCGCCTCCAACCATGGCCAGTCTTAGAAAATCTGAGTTCATCTCCTACACCTGGCTTCCACTGTGTTTTTATTTTAGTCCAGGGAAAGTAAATGCCTGAAGTGTTTAGGATTTCATCTGTGAAAATGTGTGTGATTTTTCTACCCTACACTTCAATCATCTCCTCAAGGGCAGGGCTGGTATTTTTGTTTGTTTTTCTCCAGTGCCTGGAATGATATTTTGCACCTAGCTCAGGTCTTGAATAGTGTTAGTAGAATGAGCAGTTTTGCCTAAATTTGCTCATCTCTAATGGCTACATTCTTAGTGGGTTTTTTCTCCCCATTTAAACCATCTTTTAAGTTCTATTAGGATTTTTTCACATTTTGTAAACATGTATTAAAAGTAAAATGTCAGAATGAATGACAGTAGAGGGGGTAGAGAGAGAAGAGGGGAGGGGAGGGGAGGGGAGGAGAGGGGGGATAGTAGAGGATAGGAAAGGCAGCAGAACACAACAGACACTAGTATGGCAATATGTAAATCAATGGATGTGTAACTGATGTGATTCTGCAATCTGTATATGGGGTAAAAGTGGGAGTTCATAACCCACTTGAATCAAAGTGTGAAATATGATATATCAAGAACTATGTAATGTTTTGAACAACCAACAATAAAAAAAATAAAAAGTAAAATGTCAGGCTGGACATCTGGCACACCTATCATCCCAGCTACTCAGGAGGCTGAGGCAAAAGGATCCCAAGTTCAAGGAGCCTGGGCAACTTAATGAGACCCTGTGTCAAAATAAAAAGGGCTGGGGATGTAGTTCAGTGGCAGAGGAACTCTGGGTTCAATCCTCAGTACTGGGGGGAAAAAAAAAAGGTTTTTAATTTAATAATTTTTTTTAAAGAGAGAGAATTTTTAATATTTATTTTTTAGTTTTCGGTGGACACAACATCTTTATTTTTATGTGGTGCTGAGGATTGAACCCAGGGCCCCGTGCATGCCAGGTAAGCACACTACCGCTTGAGCCACATCCTCAGCCCCAAAAGGTTTTTAATTTAAAAACTCAAAAAGTAAAATGGTCAGCTTTGCCACCTCAAAAATTTCATGAGAAGGAAAAATAAACCCAAATCATGTACAAGAACATCTATGAAGCAGATCATGAGTCAGATGTATTCAGTGATACACAATGTGAAGGAAAGAAGTACGATATAGGGCTGGGGTTGTGGCTCAGTGGTTGAGCGCTTGCCTAGCAAGTCTGAGGCACTGAGTGTGTGGGTTTAATTCTCAGCACCACATATAAATAAATGAATAAAATAAAGGTCCATCAACATCTAAAAAATTTTTTTTAAGTACAGCATAATTTACTAGCTATTATGAAGGGACATTTGGTCATGTGGAAACAATAATCAATGGTTTTGACAGCACGGTAGACAATGAATTCATCTATGCCTCTGCTTTTCTACCTGAGAGGCCAGATCTCAGGTTGAAACCAACAAGTTGAAAATCTGAAGAAACAGAGAATGAAAACTGATAGAAGAATGTTGTGCAATGTCACTGAGAGTAGAATCAATGTGATGAATTAGTAACTACCATGAGCACCCAATATATGTCCACACTGTTCAGAAATGTGTTTGGTAAGCAATCAGAGTCCCCCATTGTGTGAAGGGATTGCTGCCCATCTGCAGAAAGGAAGCAGGGGCACATTCAAATGGCCCCCTTCAGTCAAAAACAAACACGGCAAATAGGAAACTGTGAAACTGACCTGCAGCCTAACTTCACAAGAGGCGTTCAAATATTTTAAAAGGCTGCTAGAGACAAAACAATTACCAAATATTTGCAGATACCTCCACCACCACCGTAGGGCTTGCCAACCAGCAGTCTTGACAATGGACCCAACCTCGTGTGCAGCAGTTCAGATGTGGGCGGTATGGAAGGTCTGCAGCTTCATACCCGCTCGCCACTTTTGAGCGTTAAATTGTTTCTGATCCTCAAAAATGTACCTCTTGTTTTAGAGCCTGGGTTTCTTTTACTATTATTATTGTGTTTGGAGTTAGGTGTGCCTCACTCCCAAGTGAGGACTTCCAATGGCATCTCTAGAAATTCAACAATGAAAAGCACTGTCGTATTAATGGCTCATCTAAATTGTTGACTTGTATGATGTTAAAAAATTACAGATCCTAAAAAAAAAAAAAAAAAAGAAATTACAGATCCTAGAACGCATCAGGCTATGGGTCAAAAGTACAGTTTGATTTTTAGTTGTGTTCCTGGGGCTTCTGTTGGCCCTAAAATCATATAGCACGTGGAATGTTCCTCAGTCCAGGCGCACACACACACACAGGGATCTGCCTCCTTGGCTGAAAGCAGCTAAGATCTTGGTCCAGGAGCTAAGTTCTTTTATTAGTTTGATGGTGCTGCTTCTGCACCAGTGACACACAGTACAACTCCAGATTTGACATCATTCCTATTGCATCTTGTATAAAATTAAAATTATTACAGTAACTGAATAATTCATAATCCCTCCCTTCCTTATCACTTTTTACAGCATTGAGGCCTGTGTGTTCTAGCACATTTATAGACTGTAACATCCTGTAGTGGTGAGTTTATGCATTAAGAAAAACATGCTGCTGCTAACCAACTGTGCATGTTTGGAATGGGTATTAGGGAATCCGTGTTCTTCCCCTCTGGCTTACTTGACTAGCCCAGTTCACTGAAAGCTTATAGTTTAAGATATGCCAAGTCCTGAGAGTTACTATTTTTCTAAACTGCAAAAATAAATCTTCCAGATTTTTATAATTCAATTCATATTTGGTAGGAAACTAGTCTGAAAAATGTGTCAACCAATCCTTTGGTTTTATTTGCATATAGACAGTGGGGTGTAACTTTGAAAGAATGGTGAGGATCTAATGGGTGTGGACCCAAGTGCTTCTGCTAATTCTGTTTTGGCACCATTTGAAGACTGGAATTCTTTTTTTTTTTTTTTTTTAATTAGATATTGATGGACCTTTTTGTTTTATATGTGGTGCTGAGAATCGAACCCAGTGCCTCACACATGCTAGACAAGTGCTCTACCACTGAGCCCCAGCCCCTGGAGACTGGAATTCTTTACACCCACCTCCACACTCCCCACATACAAGACCATGGATGCCCTTGCTTAAGAACTGCATTCCTAATCAGGACACCCCAGGTTAGTAGCAACTCCCGGGCTTGCACCTATTACTTCACTCTTTTCCCTCTGTCAGGAAAGCCTCATTGAGCAGGAACTGTTCACAAAGAATGTGATCAGAAGACGTCAGGAGATGATAGGCAACGTCTGCACTATACCTCTTCACTGATGGCCATGAGTACCTCCCAAGAATCTTTGGCTCTTCACCTAATTGCCAATTGAAGGCAGTTTCCTTTCCCTTCGTTACACCATTTCCATTTCTATAAACTTGCTATTGTGGAAACTTTAATCAAGAATCAGGGGCTGCGATTGTAGCTCAGCAGTACAGCACTTGCCTACCATGTGTGAGGCACTGGGTTTGGTTCTCAGCATCACATAAAAATAAAGAAAATTAAAGTATTGTGTCCATCTACAACTTGGAAAAAAAAAAATAGTCATCTAAGCCAGGCATGGTGGTGCAATCCTGTAATCCCAGGCTCAAGAAGGAGGATCACAAGTTTGAGACCAGCCTCGGCAACTTATTGAGGCCTAAAGCAACTTAGTGAGCCCTGTATCAAAATTAAAAAAAAATAAAAGGGGCTGAGGATTTAGCTCAGTAGTTAAGCACCCCTGGGTTCAAATTCTAGTACCATTCCCCCAAAAGAAGAAAAATAAAAGAAGAAATCAGTCAGCTGAGAAAAAAATTAAGATTTATTTTTTATAAGAACCAGAAAATTGATTTGAATAAGGCACACTCAATGTCTACAGGAAATAAATGCAAAAGTAATCATGGTTATATAAGGAAAGGGGAAATGTCAAGTCTGACATTACTGATTCTCAATGCCCATTAATTTTTTAAATATACAAAAGCAAAATTCAATGGTGTTTAAAAATCTGGGTCAGAGATAAGCAAACAACTGGTGAAGAGCATTTTGCTAAATTTTCTCACTTTTATAAGCTGTCTTTGTTATATTCTAACATCAGTGCTCAATATGCTTCCTGTCTTAACAAACAGAAGTACAGATCAAACAAGAGCTAGATCAAAGCCTCCTTGGCAGCTAGCACTGTTCAGTTGGGCCATTAGCCCAGGGGTTGGTGGGCCAAGGACACACCAAGCCTCACCAATCAAGTGTGGAGGCTTCCAAATGAAACATGCTACAATTACTTTATTCATCGATTTTAAAAGTAGAAAAAAGAAACAAATAGCACTACTACCTTTAGCAGTATGAACCCCTTGGAACTTGCCTTTCAATCTCTGAAATTAACTAGAAAAACTAAATTTCATCCTAAGGAGGGGAAAAAACCAAGTCCAATGACACTTGCTCCTACAAGAAGTGTTTTACATTAATACATAATGTCATGGAAGTTATTCTGTGACAATAATTAATGATGTTCAGGTATCATGTGTAGTATCATGTGCTCACAAATCATTTTTCAGAGTCAAATAAGCAAATTGCCACAATAATAAAAGATGAACAACTAAATACACAAAAGTCTGAAAAATGAAAAATGTAAAAAAATAATGGAATAGAAACTAATAGAGTACAATATAGAATAGATTTTAATTATTTGCATATTTTAAAAATATAGTTTTATGCTGTAAAAACAATCATTTTATTCATGAGATTATCTGCTTTTTCTAAAAATGATTTTTGAAATAATGGACAGAAAGCTGACAAATCTCAATTGCACTTAAGCATACTTTTCCTTCCATGTATAACAAAAGCTAAACAGTAAACAAGGAATTTGCAACTTTTAGCAATTCTCCTAAATTATACTGAGAGCAAATAATGAAAATCCATATTCAACCGAGTGAAGAAACAGTTCCCTCTGTTTCAAGTGTGATGTGAATCACTGACAGAAACTAGGTCTGTACTTCAAACTGGTTCCTCTATAGATCTGAGGTAGCACAGGTCAGCAGGCCAACATAACAATTCTACAAGGCACCAATGGTTGTGTGTGATGTAATACTAGCATCAAAGATCTAAAAATACTGGAAAAAATCAACTTATGGCATATAGAGTTTTCTTCCAGTTCCTGACTTTATATTGGACTGACCCTGATATTACATTCACTATGCTTTAACTTTGTGTTCAGGTCTTTTCTCAAATCTATCGAGGATTCCTTCAAGTCAATACTCCTTTGGGGATGTCCCTGCACTCAACTGAGCACACTTAAAGCCTTGCTCAAAACACATTTTTTTCCTGTGGAAGATATTCAAATAAACTTTTCCCCATGTCTTTGTAATCATTTTTGGTATCAATACAGATCCTTACATCTTTTTAGTGTTCCTAAAATCCTTCCATTCTTCAGTCACAAGAATTCTTAACTACATGCACATGTGTATGCTTTCACAGTCAAAGAGAAGCCAAAGTCTAGTTAAAACATTCCAAGGCTGTGGTGATAGTCCATGTAATGGAACAGACCTTTTGTTAGGTCTACATTCTACTAGTGTTCTGCTTTCAAGAGCTCAAATGCTGATCAACAACTTCTGTCTCCATACACACTGTTCTCAGTTTGTCTCACAATCACAGATCATCATTCAGCAATTGATATTGGTCATTAAAACCTCTGAGACTCTACCATTTCTGCCTCTCCTCACCAAGTATAACATCTCTTGCATTTCTATTTTGCAGTGCTGGGGATCAAACCCAAGGCCTCATACATGCTAGGCAAGCAATCTACCACCAAGCTTCACTCCCAGCCCACATTTCTCTGATTTTTACCCTAATGGTGCTTCTAACTAGCTGTTTAAAAATGAGCTGCAGTATACAATCCATGCTCCATCACAGCACAGCCAAGAAACTTTGGTGAAGTTATGCCAATGTGCCCATATAAAGACTACCATTAACTTGGTTACTAAAATCTGTTCTTCTGAAAATGGTACTCAGACTAATGACAATGACAAAATTCCATTTAGGGAGACAGAAATGATTAACAGAATGAACAAAAGCATCAGAAATATGTTAGGAAATTCTAGCTTATACATTCTAATCCTCATTTGTAGGTCTTTCTCTTTCATAAATAGTGCAAGTATACAATAAACCTATTTTTCATCTTCTGCCTGCTCACAAGTTTTAATCTTTATTTTTTTCTACTTATTTCCTATATTCTAAGGTGTTTTTTCACTTATTGATTTTCAAACTTCATTATCAGTGAAACTGTTCCAATGAAATCATACAGAGATCCCCAACATATAAAACTGTCAAAAGCAGAACTACCCTGATAAAAGCGTAGGGATCCTGGTAGACACAGTGTTAAGAATCACTGCTCTAAATCATTAAGGAAAGCTGATGTAAAGACACAGCCAATTGGAATGTCTTCATTTCCAATGATTACAAGCAATTTCCCATTGATTCCAATATTTAAGAACATTTTTGAATATAGCTTGCTTGACCTCAGCTCATTAACGGAACAAAGGTGTAGTGCTTTACATAAAGTGAGTATTTAGGGATCTGGTGGTTTGAATTCTTATTTCCTTTTTTTCATACTAGTCAAAAGTACAAACTAGTATAAAATATCATCCCTCAACTTGGTTATTAAAGCAAGTTTTTAAAATATTTAACATGATTGAAAAGTTTCTAAAAATGATCACTGCTTCAAACTCTGATTCAGTCCAAGTCTAAAAAGCCTCTTTCGTCTCCCTCAAGAAAACAAAAGTCACTCTGTAGTTACTCTGAGAATAATATCTTTCTGTGCAATGATTCTGTTATATTTTGGGATTTTAAAAATTCCTCAGATTTCTATATCATGCTATAGCTCAAACCTGATTTACTTGAAAAGGTCAATTTTAGCTTTGTCAAAGCTTAGATTAGAAAAAATTTACAGAAAGTAAAAAAGTGAAAGCTGCTTTTCTAAACTAGGCTTGTTCGTGTTTTTTTCAGGCTGTTCCCTCCCTCTCTCCACCTCCCTCCACAGAAGGGCAGTCTGTAGCTCTTCTGCAAGCTAGAGCCTTCCCGTTACCAGCTCCCTGCTTAGCTTGACAGAAGGCAGCCCTGTTCCTCTATGTTCCTCACGGGCTGGACCGGCAGCACCAGGTGTGAAATGCGGCTCCACAGCCCGCTCAGTTTGTCAGAGTCCATGTGGTTGAAGGAGCTGGGAGTGTTAGAGTTGGTAAATTTGGCCCAGAGTAAATCCCTCACTTTTTCTTCGGTTTCCCTTGGGCCTACAGTGGCCTCTAATGTTTCCTCCTCCAGTAGCACGGTCAGGACCAGGGCCACATCTTTAAAGGCAGCGTTCTCATGATCACAATACTTGTAGAAGATCAAGGTGGAGCCTGCAGGGAGGGATTCAAAGTGGTGGACCACGGCAGCCTTCTGGCCGTTCTCAAATCCATAGCTCAGCTGAAAGTCAACCCACTGCTTGACCGTGTCGCTGTCATTCATGGCTCTGTCCGCCCCATCAATCATAATGGCAGAGACTTTCTGGGAAGAGGTATAGGCATCAGCAACATGGTGGCTCAGGCACTTAAGGGTTTCTCTTCCCTCTCGAGCTGCTGTGAATATGATGGTGGCTGGCTCGGAAGGGTTCGAAGAATTCAGGTGCTTCTGGAGAAACTTACGTCCTCGCTGCCACAGGAAGGGACTCTGGCCCGGGAATTTGTCCTTCAATTGGCTGAACTGAGCCAAGAAGGCCTCTAATGCTGGATTTGGGGGCACTTGCTGAGCTGGGGAGGAATAGTAGCTACTAACGGAACTTAACACAAAAGCCACGATAACCAGGCAGCCAAGAAAGAAGCCTGTCAAAGGAGGAGAAAACGAGAGAGAGCAGAGTCAGATGCAAAGCCTGTGGTGACTGAAATGAGGCAGAGTGCTCAGCTCTCACAGGGAGGAGTAGGTTCCTTCTGCCTGAATCTTCTAAACTTAACAATTAAAGTCTACCAGAAATACCTTGTATCTCTTATTTTTTAAGAAATGGCATTTTTGTTAATAGGTAAAAGTGGATTATATTTATCTTTTGTTGTCACTAATGTTTTTAGAAATGAGCTATTGGTATTTTCTTCCACTTTCTCAAAATGCTTACCACCTACAGCAAACAAGTTAGTACTCTGACTGGAAGGCGGGTTTAGTTTCTTGTTTATGAAAAGCCTTCCTACAGTGGGGATTTCCATTTTGTTTAAGCTCAGCAAAACATCAGCCAGTACCCCTAAGGGGGAAAAAATCCTCAAACTTTCTTGTTCTATTTTACTATGACTTGCTATCAAACATTCTTTAGAAAGATATTAACATGATATTAAAACTGTTTAACTGTGCTGGTTTTCTAGATATGTTCACTGAGGATTTATGAATGTGTTCAACACTACAATAAAACCAGGTTTGTTCTCACCATAGTTCCAAAAATTCTTTTTAGTAATCTTTCTTATGGTGGTATCCTGTGCAATCTCTTCCTTTTCTTCCAATGTTTGTGTTTCTGGCTCATGACTTTCAGCCTCTGGAGGGAAGGAGAGGAACAATATTATTTTTAGACAGTACACTAATAAGAGTATGTATGCCTTTATGACCTTTCACCTGACACTGAATTTCTAAACTTTGAAAAAATTTCTTTTATGCCACCAAGATTATAGATTAGCTCATTCCACTCTCAGGTTCTTTCCCATACATCAACTGCATTTTTAAAACAATGTTTTCTTTTCTACTCACAGTGAACCTACATAATCCTGAAATTGTCCTTGGTAACAGGGCAATACCAAACAGGGTAGGGTTAAGTGGGTCCCCTCACCTGGGGCAGGTCGTCGCCTCCTCAGTGAATCCTGGCCCTCCGGCCCTGCGCTGGAATGACCAGGACTCAGGGCTTCTAGAAAGTCTTCAGCAGATGGCTCCTCAGAAGCGCTCCCCAGGCCTGCTGGCGCTGTTCCTACCTCCTGGCTTGGAGAGCAGCTGGGATCTGGATCCTGGGGATTTTCACCCAGCCCTTCTGAAGGGAAGTGGTGCCCTTGAGCGCTAGCCTCAGAACTCGGGCTGTTCTCGTGCTCTGTTTTATCCTCTGGATGGCTCCCAATATTTGTTTCATCTGGACTTTCTGATTTATCATCTGTATCTGCACTTTCTAGACCTTTTGCCTCTACCTCTTGGTGGTCTTCGTTAAGACCAGAGGCAGGGTGTGGGGTCTGCGCTTCTTCTTCTTCAATGGCACTTGCTGTCACTGTGGTCTCCTGTGCCTGAGAATTTATTGATGGATCATTTTCCAAAACCTTCTGAGAGTCTAGTGAGATAAAAATTTAATTTTTATTGGAAAAAAACTTCCCCCATATTTTTTGTATTTTAACAAGGTCCCTGATTGATATTTATATAGATTTTCCTAGTTAGAAAGTACCCTTCCTAAAGAGTATTTGTCTCTGACTCCACTAATGGTGATTAAAACAAACTCATTATCATGTTAATAAATCTAACAGCTAATACTAATGTAAAACAATTTTGAATGACAAAACTAATGTTTGAGTATATTAAATATCTCCTCTAATGAAAGACAGTGATTATCACTGGCAGTTCAAACCATCATGCAAAAGGCTGATGGGGAATTTTATAATGGATGAATCAAATTGACAACTGCTGAACCCACTGACCAATCTTCCCATCATTAACCTCCCACTACAGGCAATGGAGAGTGCACCATCCCCCCCGTGAAGCATTCTTGCTAAACTGGACTTATGTTTGATTAAGCTTCTAGAGCTAATTACTAGTTTATAAGGATGTAATCAGCAACAATAAAAATAAATGGCCAGAAAAGGGGAAAAAAGGAGGGGTAATCTCTCTTAAAAAAAAACAAACACAATGTGCAGGCCAAAATGTTTAGGTCTAGTTTTGAATGAACCAATCATTAAAGAAACCACCTATGAAACAATCAGAAAAATCTGACTGCCAGATATTTGATGATATTAAGAAATTATCTTTTTAGGTGTGATAAAGGTATTGGGGGGCTGGGGTTGTAGCTAAGTGGCAGAGTGCTTGCCTAGCATGTATGAGGCACTGGATTCAATTCTCAGCACCATATATAAATAAATAAAATACAGGTCCTTCAACAACTAAAAAAATATTTAGAACAACAAAAGTTATTGGATTATGTTTTTTTTTTTTTTGTGGTGGGGGGTACTGGGGATCGAACTCGGGAACCACATCTGAGCCACATCCCCAACCCTATTTTGTATTTTATTGTATTTTATTTACTGAGTTGCTTAGTGCCTCACATTTGCTGAGGCTGACTTTGAACTCGTGATCCTCCTGCCTCCGCCTCCCAAACTGCTGGGATTACAGGCGTGCATCACAGTGTCTGGCCTGGATTGCATTTTTAAAGAAAAGAATCCTTATCTTTTAGAGGGGCATATTTTAGTACAGATATCTAGCATTTCTTCAGTTAGATGCTGAGGGAAGCAGGCATGAGGGAGCACAGACTTGAGAGTGTTAGTCCCGTGCTCAGGGCAGACCAAGCTGTTTACGGGGAGGCTCACTTCAGCCCTCTGCTTTCGTCTATGTTAGACATATCTATGATAAAGCTCGGGAAAAAAGCAGCCGAGGAGACATATCAGTAAAATGCAGTTGTGGCCCAACTAGAATGAAAGCAAACTCAACTGTGGAAAAAAAAAATTATGAGACAACTTGGAAAATCTGAATACCAACAGGCTATGTAATGATATTAAGGAACAATAACTTAATCTTTTAGATGTGATGATGACATTTTAGTTATATTTTAAAAAAAGAATTCATCTTTAAGAGATATAAACCTAAACATTTACAAATGAAGTCATATATATCTTGGCTTTTAAATAATCCAGGGCAGGTAAGACCAGCGCTGTGCTGGTCAAAGGTGGAGCTGGACACTGAGGATGCTGGGGGGTGGGGGTGGGTTCATATTGTTCTACTTTTATACCTTGAAAAAACTTCCTTAATAAAAGATTTAAAATAAACACGTCCTCTTTCTTCTGAAAAGTCTATTTCATATTTTGGCTATTTTATATCTCACTTCTGTAAGTAGGAAGAAGACCCTAAGTCTCATCCTTACCTATAATTGAATGATGCCCTCTAAATATAGCATATTACAGGTTTTTTGACTTTATAACTCTGAAGATCTGCCTACCATCTTTTTAAAAGATGTATGCATTTGGCCAATATTGTAGGTCCCTACTATCGAAGTCCCTAAAATATTTCTCTTCCTCATATTACAGGGAGGGTCTGCTATGTGTTAAAATTCAGTAAATAGGAACAAAAGAGAATAATCATAACAAATGAATCCACTGAGTTAGTCTTTTTACTTTAAAACTTCAGGGTCTTCTTTTTTTAATATATATTTTTTAGTTGTAGGTGGACACAATACCTTTATTTTATTTCTATGTGCCTCACACATGCCAGGCAAGTGCTCTACCACTGAGCCCCAGCCCCAGCCCCAGAACTTCAGGTTTTAATCATCAGATTTTCTCTGGGCACAGCCCTAGTCTCCTACAGCATAAGCTCAGTGCCGTCCCAACTAGTCTTACCCTCTGGAGGATCCCTAAGTCCACTGTCGGTCATTTTGTGTTCTATCTCTTCAGAGTTTAGGATACTTTTTTTAGTGTCTGGGTTTCCTTGTGAAGACATCTTGTTTTCTTCTCATCCCAAGTCCCAACAGACTTATGCTTCCCGCAGACCCAGGAGACAAGGCATATATACCATGACTACAATAAAATGAAAAACATTAAATGACTTTTCAGCCATACAAAGGCGAAATGCCAGTTTCAGTGGTATTTTTTACACCTCTTTGGTCTACACAGTATTTCCTCTCTGAAATGTTCCTTGTGAAGAAAAGGCGCTTCTGGCTCTCATGAGCATGACCCTCCAAATCCTAGACCACAGAAAGAGGCCCCTGACTATTAACCGGGCACAGACGTCACGGTCTCCCAATACATCCCAGGGCTCTGGCAAGAGTATGAACAGTCATACCAAAGGAGCAGAGCCCGAAAGACCACAGCTCTGAACCTGAAATGCTAACAACTCCCAAGAGCTGGTCTGTGGCCACTGCAGACTTCCGTATGGCTTGGACGACCCTTCACTGTGCAACAGCTCACCTGTCAGATGCTCCCACTTATTAACACGCAGGAATACATGGTGCCACCCAAATTCAATGACTGCCTATGGTCCCAGGGAGCACGCATCTGGAATTTCATCACCATCCTCCTAGAGCTTCTTCCCAGCACTCTTTTGTAAAATACAAAGATGAACGCTTCCTACAATGCCTTCCTATGTCATGTTCAGAAAATACAGGTAAAATATTATGAGCTTTATACAAAAGGACCAAAATCAGAGGCAGTTTGTAAGCAATAAAAACTTAGATCATTTTAAAGTTAAGTCTTCTTGTCAAAAACAAATTGGTTGGGCTGTGGTTGGGGCTCAGTGGAGAGCTTGCCTAGCACATGTGAAGCACTGGGTTTGATTCTTAGCACCACAAAAAAAAGATTTTAAAAATAAGAAAAAACAAATTGGTCAGTAAGTTACTTAACCTTCATTACCTGTAAAAAAAAAAAAATGAGACAAAGCATTGTTGTATTAAATGCAAAAACACATGTGAAAGAGCTTTGTACAGTTACATTTTTTGATAGCTAATTGGTTAGCCTCTCAAATGGGCTTTCTTTTGTTTTTCTCACAGTACCGTTGTAAAATTTAGTTTCACAAACTAAAATCTTTAAAACTTTGTATTCCAAATTCCTAACACAGTGCCCAGTGTATAGTAAGAATTCTGTATTTCATTTTTAAATGAGAAAAAAATGAATGAATGTATGAATCAACAGTGGTGTGGTGCATAAACTGGAAGGGAGGAATGAGGGACAGGCCCTTCTTTCCACTGATGTGAACACTTATGAACATGTCAGATTTGGAGGCTTCCTAATCACCCCATTCTTCTTTAAGATCCTGGAATTGCTTTGCATTTAATTGTGCTATCCCCTGTTATAAGCAGAGTTTTTCTTCTCTCTTAGTTCATTGAAGAAAATAAAAAGTACCCAATCCTTTTCAATTTTGTTTAAAGAAAATTTTCTTCCTGCCAGCCCAAACCAAGAATATTTAGAGTAAAAAGTTTTCTATGTACCAGTGGAAAAAAATTTTAGAAAGTAAATATGCTATTCACAATCAGCATAAGATACCTATAAACAGAAACTAAAAGGTACACAGTAAGAAATCTAACAGATGTGGGAGAACTTCGGGGAGAGATAAATTAAATAGAAAAATAAGTTGTGCATAGACAGTAACAATGCAAACCATTGGTGCCAATTTTCTCCAAATGGAATCTATACATTCAACACAATGTGAAACACAATCTCAAGAAAGCTTTCTGATTGTGGTTGGTTTCTAACAGAATAGACAAACTGATCCTAAAGTTTGAAAACAGCAAGTGGCAGAGGATCCAGAAGAATTAAGAAAATCCTAAAGAAGGGGCAATCTTTAATGACACATTTAACAGAAACAATGAGGTCCTGGGCCAAGAACAGACCAATGGAACATGCAGAATAGTCAAAAAAATACGTGGACAGTATGTGTGTGAGTCTGTGTAAAGGAAGTTGGCTAAGTGACACAAAAAAATAGATTAATGAATAAATAGTTGAGGCACAACTGACGAGTCAAATGGGGAAAAAATTAGATTTTGACCTCACACAAAAATCAATTCCAGATTAAAGACCTAAATGTAAAAAGCAAAACTGTGAAACTTTCAGAAGATGTCAATATCTTTCTAACTTCAAGGGTTTCTTAAACAAAATATAAAATACACAAACCATAAGAAGAATTTGACAAATGTGATCACATGATAAAAGTTCAATTACTAGACAAAAAAAATACGAAAATTAAAAGATAAGTTGCTGACTAGAAAAATATCTGCAGCATATATGACTAGTCAAGGATTAACACCCAGAATATACAAAAACTCCCAAGTCAATAAAAGACAAATATGTTATGAAAAAGTAGGCAAAAGAGATGGACAAGCAGTTCAACAAAGAGGAAACCTAGAAGTCTAACAATTATGTAAAAAGAAGCCAAGCAAATGCTGCCTGTGAGGAAATCAGGACGGGTAGAGCAGCAGGACCTACCCTCCCTCACTCCATCCTACAAACCTCTGGTGCTGCCAAAGGGGCCAGAGAAAAGAAGGGCAGAAGATGGAGACCTGGGAGAGGACTGGGGGGAGGGGGCCAGGTGTGAGAAACACTTTTAAGTTTTAAAGAGGACGAGCACAAGGAAATTAAAAGTTTAGCAGTTATAGAGCAAAAGAAATTAGTCATTCCAGCCAGGATGGTGGTTTAAATGAGTGCAACTGTGACAAGGGCATAGCAGTGAGGAGCCAGTAAGTTTATGTATTTCTGAATTTTTAACCACTCTTAGTTTAGTAAATTATGTAACTTTAGGATCTCAGGATGAAAACCGATATCTTGACCCTCAAGCAATTTCTAATCCTGCTGAGGAAACAAACAACAAATAAAGCATGCACAATTGTAATAGCTAACATTTATTGAGCACCCTCTTTGTGCCAGGCAGCAAAGCACATTAATGACCCTTTAATCTTCACAACAATCTCATATAGTTGGGACAATTAATATTCCTACTACTGTTTGGATGAGGAAACCGAGATGCAGAAGATTAAGAACTTTACCCAAGAACACATGACCATTAAGAGCAGAGTCAGAATTTTCGAACAAAAAGATAGCCTGGCTGTAGCACACACAGTTTCGACTAAGACAGTTTGAAAATCTCAAACTGGTAAACAAAGCACCCAGGTCCTACAATATTAGATCTAAGAGTGAATGTGACTCTAGCATATGTGACCTGGGTGAATCTAGACATCTCTCTCAACTTTGCTCTGCTTATTTGTTGTTGAAAAGCTCAGATGACATAGTAAATCATGTGGCAATGACATACACCATAATTAAGATTATCCACGAGCCTGAAAAATGGGACAAGGATCTGCCCTGGGTCATCCATTCCTCCAGGCCTCTTCACCTTTACACAGAACACCATTTGACTTGTGACTACAGGCTCAACTTCAGACCTCAGACCAATCCTGTTTTTCTTGGGAGATTAAATTTTTGATAATTCAGAGCAAGTTCTAACAGGCTTTAATCCCTGTTCTAAAACTAAGACTCTACTTTATCCCATAGTTGTCATTTCTGCCTTGATGTCTTGACCTTCTCCTCAACCTTACTATGTGAAGTATGGTCAGATTATGTTATTACACTCAAACCCCACAAAGGTATGCAGTAGGCATTATAACACTGCCTGTTTCACAGATGGCAAAACCACACAGCATGGTTAAGATGCCCAACATCATTGGATCGCATCAGAATTAGAACACAAACCCAGCTGGCAGCAAAGTCATTATTTTTCCTCCTTAGAAAGCAGTTTTTAAGCCATGTCCTTAAAATTCCACGGAGTCTCAAGGGTTGCCAGTGGAGACCTAGGAGATGAAGTGGGTATGAGAAGCCACGACATGCAGACTGTCACATACTTTTCGGATGCCACAGACTTGTTTTTTACCTGTCTGCTTGGCCAGGCCTCCTGCTATAACTTATTGTCTTATTTCAATCAATCACACACATTGCCTCAGAAGCCACCGCTCTGGTGGGTGTATTTTTTCCCCAGTCTGCCCCAGTATGTTTCCACTCCCAAATCTGCCATTAAATAACTGGAAACAGGTATAATGGTCATTTTCAAAATGTCTAAGTAATACCATCAACTCTCCCACACAATGCAAATAGAGACTTATAAGGCTCACAATTGAAAATATCAGACCCCAGAGCAGGTTATTAGAATTAATTTTAGCAACCTATTTGTTTTAATGTCATTATTCATATCAACTACAAGGTATTCTAGAATAGTCTGCAATATTTTAAGCCTTGTGAATTCATTCCAAAAAGACCTAAGCTGAAGCAAAAAAGGCTTTCTAAATTTTCTCCTTTGCTCACTTTTATGAGCTTCTCTACATGAAGTCGATTTGAGAGTGAACCTAATAGGTGTGATAATACCATCATGTTTGAAGGCAAAGTACCCTTGTTAATATTAAACTGAAGATTTTTAAAAAAAATTCCCCTCTCTTGTCCACATACTTATAATGCAGTACACAACTGTTCATGAGGATGCCTGGGGAAGTCTTAAAAAGAAAAACATGTCTGTCAAGACCTAAAATATCAACAGTGGCCTTCAGTCTGACATGAAACCTTTTTATATTCCATGTATAAAGTATGATAAATACAGGTTGAAGATCCCTTATCCAAAATCCAGAGCATTTCAGACTTCAGGCTTTTGGAATATTTGCATAGACTTTATGGATTCTTTCTTTTTTTTTTTTTTTGTACTGGGGATTAAACCCAGGGGTGCTTTACCACCAAGCCACATCCCCAGCCTTTTTTCTTTTTGAGACAGGGTCTAAGTTGCTTAGGGCCTTGCTAAATTGCTGAAGCTGCCCTTAAACTTTTGGATCATCCTGCCTAAGCCTCCCAAACTGCTGAGATTATGCCCCACCATGCCTGGCCTGGTCAAGTATCCTTAATCCCAAAATTCAAAATGCTCCAGAAACCAAAAATTTTTGAGCACTGACAAGATAACTCAAAAATGTATGAGATTTTGGAATATTTCAGATCTCCGAATTAGGGACACCAAACTACATCATTACCTTTTAGTATAAAAACTACTCACACAGCTCCCATCCTTTTAAACCAATAAGTAAATACCTTGGATGTGCTGCTGCAGAGTTTCTCCACTACTTAAAATTGGTTAAAACAAAAATACAGACCTTTTCTCCATTTTGCTGATATTGAAAATTTCACATATGTAGAATGTTTCCTTGCCGCAGTCCGGCTGGGCAAAATAACCGGGAGGTGACAAGCAACTTGAAGGTTGAAGGGGGAACTGCATTATTGCGGGGGAAACTCAGCGGGAACTCAAGGTAGCGGGCACCTAAGGTAGCAGGCACCGCTTTATTGCGGAACAGCAGAGGTTATATATGCCTAACTGATTACACACAGCTTGACTCAATTAGCATCATCTAGATACAGCAGTCAGCCAATAAGGAATCCTTACCATTTTAATGGCTTGGTGGCGTTGCCTCACAAACCACTCCTCCTGGCAAACTGCCAGGTGCCATCTTGACTTGATTTGTGGTCCCCAACATTTCCTAGCATGTGTCCCTGGAGCATAACCATTCTCTAATAACTGAAAAAATTCAGATGCAACAACATTATCATAGTACTATCCTCAAAAGCCCTGTCTCTTTTTTAGGAAGAGCTTTATAGTAGTGAAAGGAGTTTTGAATCACAGGTTAACGATAAACTAAGTGGTCTTCACTCCGTTTAGCAGTCCACAGAGTTTATTCAGCAATGTAACTGGGGAGAACCATCATGATAGACATAAGGCAGAACACAGAAGTGGGTCTCTGGGATACATTCTTCACACAGACTAATAAATAACTTTACGTTTCATAACATGCAGCAAGTATGATTTGTTGTGTGTCAACAGCCATTCATCCCCCACTTCTTCCTTCCTAAAAGAATCTTGATTGTATCAGTGGAGACCATGTGCCCCACTGGGGCAATACCAACCCCATTCCCCTTTGCCAGATTTCCCCAGGCTCCCTGGTTAACCTTCTAGTGAGATGTAAGAAGATATCTGCTAGGAATCTGGTGGAAAGAATTTTACTCCCAAACAAGACAATCTTGAAGAGAGAAAGATTTTTGCTCCCTGCTTCCAGTCTCTGGTGGGATTAAAATGTCTGGGGCAACAACAAACCATATTACACTCATTGAGGAAACAAACCATGAAGACAGAAATCAAACACAAGGATCCTAGAGGTAAGGACAGAGTCTGGATCCTCAAAAGCATTGCTGAGCTGCTACACAAGCACTGGATTACCCAGCATCTTAATCTGAAAATTGTCCAGTGGCTTCTGAGATGTTTCCAACAGCTTTTCCCAAGTTGCCTAACTTACAACTCTGATTCCATGATTTTCATGAATAAGAGAAGGCCAGACATGGCCAGCAAGACTTTCTAAGAAAGATGCTTCCACTAGACTGTTCATAATTCATATAAAGTCAAGCTTGGTAATTCCTTTTGCCATAAACCTCACAATACAGGTACTTTTCCATTTCCAAGGGAGGACATTTTAGGTTTCAGTCACTACAAAGACAGGGTAGTCTTTGGTTATGTAGAGCCAAGTTAAAAATGTAAACAGGCAGCATTTTTACATATTTTTGTGTAAACTATGTAAGTGTTGCCTAATAGAATGTAATTTTTCTGGCCATGACCAGTTATTAACATGAGGATGGGGCCAAACAGAGCAAGAGGAATAAATAGTTATATATGAATAAATTTTATATACACACACACTCATACATCTCTCTTTATCACCGATAGATGTAGAAGAGGGACAATTTAGAACAATGTAGTTTCTTATTAAAATTTATTGGAAGAATCTAGAATTCAGCTACAGTGAGGATGCTTTCCCACAAAAGTTACCATTAGAATTACAATTATGGGGCACACAGTATGGGGCCTCCCCTCCAGGAATACCTAGTTGGATATCAATAATTAGGTTGTACAACTTTTTAGGAGGGGCAAGCTAGTTTCAAAACATTATTTATATGCATTAGTCTGGTTCTAGATGAACCATCTGGTTAGAATACTAAAATATGCTAAATAAAATATGCTTAGGCCACAGAAGCAAACCCAATAATTTAAGCAGTTCCCCTAAGTAGTGCCTGGGTCAGATTCAGAAATGAGGCTGGGGATATAGCTTAGTGGTATAGTGCTTGCCTAGCATGGGTGAGACCCCAGGTTTGATCCCCAGCACACCCAAAAAAAAAAAAAAAGGAAAAAGAAAAAAAAATGAATTATATTTCCATCTTCCTTGGGCTATTAGCACAAAACCCTCTATAGTCTCCATGATTTTTACTATTATTGAAGTTATTTGTTTTGGCCAAGTTTTTTGTTTAAGGTTTTATCTGTTCTGGTCAAGATTAACTGTAATGCAGGGTTAAAACCAGCTACTCTGGAGTCATGTATCCTTTTTCTAACCAGTGGAGGACCCAGAAGAAATGGATGGCAGGCTTTTTCAAAGGTCCACCTGGTAAGATTTTGGGGAGCCCACTCAAGTGGGAAAGACCAAGGAAGAACAAGGCTTCTATTAGCAGGATTATCAGGATAGCATTCTGGGCAATAATCAGCTCTGTTAATACGGTCTAAGAATACTTGGTAGCATTCATTTTCAACAAGTTCGGTTTGGTACAACCAATGGCCTAGTTCTAAACTAGGGAACCACTGCTGCCCACAATCAGGGCAATGTGAATTATCGGAGAACATCTGGACTTCAAAAGACAACACAAGGAGCAATGTAACAGCAAGAGGCAAATTGACAGAGAGACACCCAAATAAGCAGTCCCGTTACAGGTTTGTTTAGCAATTTCTCAGTTCAACCAGCATTACTTGCAGAAGGTTCAATGTGGCTTGCACCTCAGTGCAATTCTTCAAGATTTCGTTGTCTGGTGTTCACTCAGTTGCAGCTCAATCTCTGACCTCAGGGACCGATGCAGTCTATGATGTTATCAGTCACTTACTAGCAGTGCAGATCTCAGAACAGCTCTTTCAAATCCCAGCTTCACAAGAAAAGAGAGGGCTCTAGTCTCAATTAGTTATTTTTTCTTGTGCGTTATCAGCCGGTGGTGGCGTCACACAGACACGAGGCTTACTCTGTGTAGCTGGTGCTGGCACCCTTGCAGTTGTAATACCCAAGTCTTCAGGCCTTGACACTTTACAGTGCTGCAGAGGGGGTAGGAAAACCTGGCAGATTCCTCTTAAGCGTGGATCTAATGAAGTCTGTCTTGGGAGGACCTTAATCTGGACCCAGTCACAGAAGTAGCTGATGCTGACTTGGATGGAGGGTCTGGGAATGCGTCACACACCTGTAAATGATAAAACTTCAGACGACTCATATGGGCTTTGCAGTTGCTCACAATATCATCAGAAACATGCATCTGAAGGGCTGGGGGTGTGGCTCAGTGGTAGAGCACTTGCCTAGCATGCAGGAGGCCCTGGGTTCAATCCCAGCGCCACAAAAAGGAAAGAACATAAAAGACATGCATTTAGAACTTATTTGGATCAGTCAGGGCAGATGAGACTATAGTATGGGTTCAATCAAATTTATCTTCTGGGAGTCATGCTCATGTGAGCTCTAAGAAAGGTTTTGGATTATTTAGGATTTATATAAGACAATGTTTTTAGGACTAGATTTCTTTTTTATACTCCTTTTGCACTTCTGGAATAATAAGGTCTGTATAATCATATTTAACCTGGTTAAACTTTAAGAGCTCTAGTATATCTCTTCTGTGAAAGGGATGCCGTATATGGTATTCCCTAAACATTAACGATGTGTGGGATGACACTAATGATGTAGGCTTTCCATCACAGACTTCAATCTGAACAGGAGAAAGCTTAAAAAATTATTAGGTAATATTCGTAATAGCTAACCATAGGAAACTGGATAAAACCCTTTTGAAGGCTGAAAAAGAAACCAGTGGGGCAGGTCTCACTGCCTACGCTTGTCTTTGCAGGTCAATGCACACTGTGTTTGTGAAAACAAGTATGTGAAGGCACAGCCCTGAACAAGAGACCTGATTTACCTTGGAAAATGCATCATCAACCAGTTGGAATGTGCAGATGCTATCATCACCTCTGTGCTCCCTCATGCCACTGAATGTAACATGTAAACAGGTGGGGAGTAGGGTACCTGAAACACCGCAGCCATTAGGCAGTACCCCAGATTACCAAAATTACATCATATACTCTCCCTTTTTCCAGTGTTCTTTTTGTAAATTCTGAGGCAACAAGGGACAACATGGAACACTGGGGAGGGTGTAGGTGGTAAAACTATATAAAGAACTAGCCTGAAAAGCAGGACTTACAGCCTCGGTGTAGGCAGCCATTTTCCTTACAAACTTGCAAGAAGAGTCATGATTCTGATTTTAAAATGGCAAGTTGAAAAGGCAATGAAGGGCCTCCTACAGTGATATGAAATGGGGCCCGTGTTTCAATGGTACCCAGAGGTAGTGAAAGAGTCAATATAGATTTATTGACCTGTTTTTTGAAGTGAGATGACAATGAGTGGATGAGTCTACCGAGTCAGGCACTCAGGCAGAGTGGAAGAAAGGTAGGATCTCCGACTCAGGTGCGTTTTTGACTCAAGGACTTCCTTGGTAGTGACCGTACAGGGAATGATAGATTTCCCCGAGGCTCTGTTGACAGAAACAATCAAAATAAAATTTCAGGTGCTAGATTAAATATAGGGTGTATAGTCATAGAACAGACAGATGGGAAATAAAATCCTCATAACTGTGGAACTCATTAAACATAAATGATAAAAGCAAAGTTTCATAACTAAGTCAGATATAGAATTTGGAATTTTTAGAGTGAAATCAGGGAAATGCAATTAAAACCATAGCAAGATACTATTTTACATCTACCAGACTGGAAAAATTGACAAATCTGACAATCGGGGGCCACATATTATTCGAGGCAAAAGCATCTCTCCCCCCCAGGAATCCCCATTTCCATCTATAGGAGTTAAGAGACAGACCTAGAGCTGGGTTACATCCAACTTCAAGAATCAAGCAATCACCAGAACTCCAAGTAATCCTGAATCAAAACGCTGGTGTTGCAGATGTCTCAGATGAGCTACACTTGCCCTGGTCCCTCAAACCACAACAGACAAGAATCAAGGGGGACTAAAGATCTCCAACTGCTCAGAATGCCACCCATTACCAGCCTCCTTGCTCACTTTTCAGTCTTACTACCACTAGGATAAGTTGAGAGAAGGGTCAAATGCTTCTGGCACAATTTCCAAACCCTGCACCTCACCAACACTCATAGGGTTACTACCATTATTTGCTCGCAAGCGTCAGAACCAATCTCATACCTGCACCTCTATTCATGTCAACCATCACATGAAGCCCCAGCCTTCCTGGCTGTCCTTTATCCCCTTAAGACTCTCACTGCCCATATGGCTCTGAGAGCAGAGAGAGAAAGCACCCACTCCCCTTTCTTGACTTGACCCTACAAAATATGTTAACACCTTGCTGTATTACACGTTTTAGCTTTTTTGGCCACTAAAATATAAACTGCCTGAGAAGAGGGCTTTTAGTCCTTTTATTCACTGCTTGAAGTGTCCAACAAATATTTCTTAAAAGAAGTAAATGACAAGGAAGAGCAACTTGAACCCTTATATTCTAATGTTAGTGTGTAAGTGAGTAAAACCACTTCTGGATGAACTTAGCATTATCTAATAATGCTAAAGACGTGCACTACTCGTAACTCAGCAATTCCACTCTTAGGCATATACCCTAGAGAAACCTGTGAATACACATTTAAAAACATGAATAAAAACACTGAGTAGCCCTATGTAACACCAAACTAACAGCCAAAATGCCCATGAAGAGTACAATAGGTAAATAAATCCAGGTATCGCCACACATTGGAATACTGTGTATACAGAGATAAAACTTAAAAAAAAAAAAAAAGTAGCAAAAGAAAAATAATATATACATATACACATTCCTATAAATTTTCTACTTAATAAAGTTTGGAAAACATAAAATTGATATATTATTTAAGGATAAACATGTAGTAAAGCTAAGAAGAAAAGACGATAAGCAGTAAAGCTAAGAAGAAAAGACGATAAGCATCAAACCCAGGGTAACTATTATCTTTAACTGGAGGATTAAAGGAGAGGACCTGGGAAGACATTCCTAGAATTTTAAAGATAACTAGATGGAAGAAAAAAAAATGTTCAATATATCACAATTCCTAGTAACTTACAGCATTTCTATTCAATATTTTATAATTTAAAAAGAGCAACAATACTCTTTTAAGAGAACAATATGGATCTTTGCTTTTCTCCTAAAATTGTAACCCACCATTTTTTCTACAGAAATGAGGTAAAAGAGGCCTACCTAATGCTGGTATGAAAAAGAAAGTTTATTTTGGCATTCCCCATGAAGGAATGCATTTGTGTGTAGGAACACTGCTATTTCATACAGTGTCTCTGCACCAATTAGAAAAACAAACCCTTCCTCCAGGCAATCTGCAGCCTCCAGCACCTCACCTGGCCAGGTATTCAACCACTCACAGTAACACACCATCAGCTACACCTATTATCAACAACAGCTAACAGCAGACCTAAGGAAAGCCACTTTCTCTTCTAAGCACTTTATGTGTATTAACAATTTAATCACCACAATAATCCACAGGAGGATTATTAGCCCCATTTCATAGTTACAAAACAGTTAAGCAACTTGCCTGACCTCACATGCATAGCTTTAAAGAAACCAGATTTGACCATCCTGATTTCAGAGTCTTTTTACTCTTAACCACTATGAGACACTCCCTTTCTAAAACAGTGACAGTTAATACTTTAGAAAGTCCTTTCACAAACTGTTCACAAATTTCCAGGACACGGTTTGGTAGTGTGTATATTAGGGTGGAGATGGGAGAAATCACCTCTCATGATTTTCCACCCCCATACACAAAAAGATAAACAGGATAGGTTTCAGGGCCTTCTGAATCCTCTGACATTGCATATAAAAAATTTTATATGCATTTTTTTCCAGAAAGATGGTACATGCTTTTGGACTCCCAAGGAATCTAAAATGGTTCCTAATCATTTCACTACCAAGGGCAACTTTTGTTCCCCCCATCTCATTTTGGAAAGCCATTCGAACAATCTGCACTCTCATAGCCTCGTAGATTTGCCAATCAGAACTTCTAATAGAAAAACTAGTGTTATTAGCTTTAGTTAGAACTTTCAACATTTTAAACTAGAAATACTATTCAAAATATCTATAATATAACGTTGGAAATAATGAGATACCCTGAATTTGCTTCCCTCTTCAATTCTACTGACACAAGTCAAAAGCAGTTGATTTGAGGTTGTGGCTCAGTGGTAGAGTGCTCACCTAGCACAAGCGAGGCCCTGGGTTCAATCCTCAGCACCACATAAAAATAAATAAGTAAAATAAAGGTATTGTGTCCAACTACAACTAAAAAATAAATAAATTAGCAGTTGATTTAAGATAAAGGTATTACTATCATTGGGCTTTTAGAAATGCTGAAAATATCCTGAAAACTACCATTACCCTACTAACGATTAAACACAATTCTTTAAGGGGGACTCACCATGGGCCAGACCCAATGCCAATTATTATAGATAAGAAAAAATAATCTTTCAAGACTTCTGTGTCCGGGGAATCCAGAGTGGAATCAATGCTATAGGTGAAAGCTAAGGACTTTAGAGGGATATAAAAAAAAAAGATCACCTATGGAGATCACAGAACATTTAGCAAGGTTCACAAAAGAAGCTGGAATGCCTCTATTTTCAAACAAACTAAATGACCAAACACAGTGGGTAAAAAACCAAAGCTTAAAGAGGTCCTGTACAGCAAGCACAAAAGAAACTACCAATCAGTTTTTTTGGCTGTGAGAACTAAAGTAAATATAAGATTCTTCCTGAAATTGTATTAGGAGAAAATTTAGGGGGGGCGGAGAACAGTACTTTAGCACCAAAATAGAAAATGCAGTTCTAGCTGGACATGGTGGCACACGCTTATAATCCCAGCAACTCTGGAGGCTAAGGCAGGAGGACTGCAAGTTTAAGTGCCTCTGGGCTCAATTATCACTATAAAAAAAAAAAGAAAATGAAGTTCTGTTTAATTCACTGAAATTTATATCAGCTAACCACAGCAGCTTTATACATAATAAATAACATTCTTTGTTATTTCTTTAACAAATTGTTAGTAAGCAAGCTCAAATCTGTCTTTGATAGACAAAAATTCACTCATTCTTTTTAGTGGTCGGATATAATTAAGTTTCAGACTAAGTCTGATCATTAATTATTATTAGGGTGACAAATTTTTTTAATATATATATATTTTTAGCTATAGTTGGACATAATATCTTTATTTTACTTATTTATTTTTATATGGTGCTGAGGATCGAACCCAGTGCCTCTCATGTGCCAGCTGAGCACTCTACCCCTGAGCCCCAGAGCCCCTAGGGTGACAATTTT